ACATTTTTGTCTCCTCTATTTCCGGTCTGAAAACACTAGTTTATGGTTTCAATCAGCTGGATTAGTGGGACAATGCTTGTAATGACAATTCGTGAAGCATGGTGACATCGTTGGTTATACAGTCACATGGTTGAGATTTCTTTTGGCTATATAATTTCAATACATTGTGACATTGTGTCACTGACATGTGAACATACTCAATGTTTCTGTCCCTGATATTTGTTGTGAAAATATTAAAACAATGGCAAATGTTTCATTTTGGAAAGTTCAATGTTAAAATTGGTCAACTTTTTTATTATGCAATTTAAAATACTAAAAGTGTCCATGAAATCAAAATGGTGACGTTTTGGTGATGCAATAACTGTTTGGCAGAACGATTTTGTCTTTCATATTTTTTAATGGTTGAGTTTTTTCAATTATTTTGTTAGTATTGATATTATACTTCAAAGAATAAGGTTGAATGATGTAACAAGAACAATATTCTGCTTTTTATTTTGTGCGTTGTGTAGTGTAAGTTTCTGCCCCAATTACGAGTGAATAGTGTAACTAAGTCATAAAATGTTTTTGGTGGTAAGAACAGCTCGTTTCAAAATTGGCAAAGTAGTTTAATTGTATTTTAATATTAAATAGATTTCTAAATCGACAAAATCCCCAAATAACTTCAGTGACTTTTTGTTAAAATCTGTAAGTTAATTATATGCAAGTCCATTTTGGTCACGTCATGGATGGTATAATTTTCGAAATACTTATCAGAAAGTGTCAACAGTTTATTTTGCCGCTACGAGCATTGGTACAATAGATAGCATTTCGTTTCTAGACCAGGGATAGAGGGACTGTATTTTAGACGAGTATCTTGCCCAACTAGTAAACTTATTTCGAAATCATATTATACAAATATTTATGTTTATATGCATTCTGGTTATGGAAAATATAAATTTCCCGGACCACTTCAACCAGATCAAGAAGAAGTGCGATTTGCATACTGAAATCCTTTTATATACCCAGAGCCACAGTTTAAAGTTATTGAAGTATAAGAAATGCAACTACTCATCAAGTGGTTTGGTATCTGGTTCACAATAGATCTACAAATTAAAACTATATCCTTATTATATGTTTTTAGTTATACAAAAACTGGTAATTTTTGGTCTTTACTTAATTTAGAAAAAAAATATTACAGCCATTTTTTGTAAACTGCCTTCTAACAAGTCCCTTGACTGTTGAAAAATAGTGATAGAATGATGGGCAAAACTGATATACAAATGTATATTTTTTTTAAATATTCAAAATGTATCAGACACAATTTCAACCAATTGGGAAAGTGTTTGAAACCACTCAAGAGTACTATTACAAAAATGGCCAATCACAGAACATGTTGGATACATGTAAAAGGACAGTATTCCAACCAATCAAAGGGCTTGTTAGGTTGATATGTTATAGCTCATCATGTTTATCTATAAGTGCCTCGGGATCAATAATTTGGTTACACAGTGCCGGCGTTTTGAATTCCATTTCATATTCACATCGATTTGGCTCAAAAGCAGTGATGACAACATTATCAATACCACACCGGAGATTGACCTAGAAAATATAAAGGCAAAAATCAAATAAATTTAATAGCTAAAAATACAAATAGTCCATTCAGCATTGAATACTACAATGGTGATATAAACACTGAATTGGGGAACCACAGGGACAAAAACCAGTCAGTGAATAAACTAAACCCATTAGGTTGATTAGTTAGGAAAAGTCTGGCTGCATTGCAGTGTGTTTTCACATACAAACATTTGCTGACAAAGGCTAAAGCAAGTCTGAGAATATACAAAATTCTACACTTTTTCTTTTTCAAATACATTTCACACGACAATTTTAGGCATATCAAATTAAAGCGAGTGGGCTCATCACCTGCGCACGCGCGGGAATTGAGTCTCAAGCAAGGATAACAACACACGCTAAAAATGCAATGGCTCATGGGTTGATGCTTGTTTGTAAACAATGACACACTATGGCCATCTGACGCATGCGCAGGTGACGACTCTCTCGCTTTAATATACACTCTGTCTGACTATTATTTTGACCTAACATGTCTAATGTATAAACACCCGGGATAGCAACATGTGTCAGAAGTAGCCATATATACTACTGAGCATGTTACTGCACATATATGCAATGCATTATGGGAGAGAACTTTACATCCTGGAAACTATGTCAACCTTTAAAAAGTATTAACAATATTACCGGTAGGATTCATCCCCTGTCATCAAGCTAAATTTTTGAGATATGAATAAACAATCCTACCATAGAAACCAGAGTAAAAATCAAAGAAAGCTTAGAAAGAACTCCCATGTGCTGAGAGTATTGGAGACACATTAAATATAATTTGAAATTACTTAGCTGAAAACTAATTATGCAAATCAGAAAATTAATATGAACAGATTTGAGTGTAAAACTAATGAGGTCTGCGCAATGTAACAAAAACTCTATGTACCAAGTTTAATTGAAATGTGATTAGAACCAAAAAAATATGAATTATTATGCTAATTAGGGAATTAATATGAACAGATTTTTACCCCAAACTAATTAGGTTTGTACATTGTCCAAGAGCATCTTTGTACTAAGTTTCATTAAAATGGAATAATTAGTACTTTAGATATCAGTGTGAAAGCTTAAAATTGGTTAATTATGCAAATTGGGTGATTAATATGTACAGATTTTAACCCACAATTATCCAGGTCTGTCTATTATCCTACAGCAT